GGTTTGGGCGACCCGAAAATTCAAACCGTACCTCGAGGGTTACGAGTTCGTCGCCATAACCGACCACGTCGCGCTGAAATGGCTGATGAGACTACACGAGCCTAGCGGACGTCTGGCACGGTGGGTGATGGAACTTCAGCAGTACACCTTCGAGATCAAGTACCGGAAGGGCACCCTGAACCGCGTCGCCGACGCTTTGTCGAGGCAGCCCGTGACCAACGAGGGCCAATCGGGCCTGGTCGCGGTGAGTCATCTCACATCGGAGGTGACAGACGCGCCTCGCGAGCGACGCACGTCCAGACGCAGGGGATCGACGAGACCGGGAGACCAACGGAATGACACGACGCAATCCGACGCACGCCCCGACGAAGCCAACGACGTCCCTCCGACTGATTGGTACGACCGGTTGTACGCAGCTGTGACCGCAAACCCTCGACGCTATCCGCGATATCAAATCGTGGAGAACCGCCTTTACCGAACCTCCCAACGCCATGGGAGTGGTGGTAAGCTGTCCTGGAGAATGTGCGTTCCTCCAGGGCAAGTAGAGGCGGTACTACGACAGAACCACGATGACGCTACGGCAGGACACCTTGGTGTCAAGAAAACACTTTGCCGTGTAGGGCCCGAATATTTTTGGCCTGGATGGCGTCGGGAGACGAAAGCCTACGTAAGATCCTGTGATGCCTGCCAAAAGTACAAGGTGGCGCAGACGAAACCAGCAGGGAAGATGTACTTCCGGGCTCCAAAAGGTCCGTGGTACACGGTGTCCGCCGATCTAGTGGGTCCGCTACCCAGGTCGGGAAAGGGCCACCGCTTTCTGCTGGTGATCCAGGACACGTACAGCAAGTGGGTTGAGTTATGTCCTATCGGGTCAGCAACGGCCAAGAACGTTGTCAGCAAAACTAAAGAGATGCTCCTTCGATACGGAGCGCCTGAGTCCATAATCACCGACAACGGGACTCAGTTCGTTTCGAACCTCTTTAGAGACCTGGCGACGGATTGGGACATAACTTTCACGAACACAGCTCCCTACAGTCCACAATCGAACCCGGTAGAACGAGTCAACCGTGTCGTGAAGACCATGATCTCTCAGTTCGTGAAGGAGAATCATAGGTCATGGGACGCCCATATCGCCGAGCTCCAGTTCGCCATGAACACCGCCGTCCACGATTCGACGGGTTACACGCCGGCGATGTTAACATTAGGCCGCGAACTCAGAGTTCCGAAAGCTGTCCGAGGGAAAACGTTGGAGGCGACGCCCGACGTTGACGGACAGCCAACGCTCGCCGAAGTCCACGATAGCCGCAGCAGAGAATTCGAACGCCTCTACGAAAAGGTCCACGCAAACCTCAAGACCGCCTACGAGCAGCAGGCAAGGTACTACAACCTCCGCCGGCGGGAGGTGAGGTACCGCAACGGCGATCGCGTGCTGCGGCGGATTCACACGCTGTCTTCCGCGACCGACGCCGTGGTTGGGAAGCTCGCGCCCAAGTTCGACGGGCCCTGCGAGGTTGAGGAGCGGCGTGGGGCCAACATGTACGTGGTGAGAGACGTGCGCACGGGGGTGTCACACGTGGTTCACGTGAAGGACCTGAAGCCCTACCACCAACGTTGAGGGCCGACCCCTACGGATGATTCAGAAGTTCTTTAGTTTTATCGTTCTTTTATTCGTTTTTCGATTTTACGAGAGGTGTTTTTATACCAGTTGGTTTTTATTTTCGTTCAAGAAGTCCTTTTTATTTTGTTTTCAAGAAGATTTTATTTTTTCGTTTCCTTTTCCCTCTCGTACACGACCTCTTCTTCACGACGCCGTTTCTTCAGCTGCCCCTTTTTCGAGACCCTTTGGACCATCCCCCTCACGTTAGAAATCTTTTTTTTCTCTTTTTTTTGTGAAGTTGGTAAGGGGTGTGAGGTACCAAATTTTAAGGGGGGTAAAAACGTATTGCTAGTCAACAAACACCATAACTTACCCGATTTTTATCCACAACATCCTAATCCTAGGCCTATGTGCTGGCCCTAGCTTGGGCTATGGGCCAAAGAACGTAGGCCTACTTTTAATAACAGTGAAGTACACAAACACACCCACAACGATATATTTATTCATAATAGCACTCCGTTTCACATAATAAAGTTAAAACGACCGATTTTACGAATGTTTAACGCCGATTACAACATCACTTAACCTCAAAATGGTGTTTGTTGACCAACGACAGACGACAACTAGACCGGCTCAACAGGCGAATCTCCGATCAGCTGTTGGCTAGTTCTCGAACTCACCACCAGAGCGATTAAGCCTCGACCGAGGAAATCATGATTTGAGCCGGACAAGATTATTCGCTGTTTGACCACCGACTAGCTCGCACGAGTCACGAATACGACAACGACATTATTACGAAGGTTAGCTACCATACTAGTTAGGCCCCTTTTGACGTTTTACGTTATTTCTGTTTTATCTTACGCATAATTAACTTATTATACCTTTTCGTTTTCTTAATATTCCGTTTCGAATTATTAAATTTAATATCTTAACTTGAGTCTTGACCCGCCAGTTCCTGCCTGCCAGTGGACTAGCGGTGGCTATCGTTTATTTAATTTTAATTCATTAGTTTCGAAATTACGATTTCTACGTTCGCTCAACAAATAATTATCACGTCCAAATTATATCTCGTTTTCACCGTTTTAATACCCCGAGACTTGTCGTCTAAGTTCTAAACCCCGTCTTTGGCGGGTGAAAGAATCAAGTCTTGGGAGCAGGCTGATTTGAACAATCAGCTACGTAAATTAATATTAAATCTATTTTTAAACCTATCACGTTAAATTCTCCGTTCAATTATATTAATTAGGCCCGACGACTCTGTAGGAATTACTTTTACCTTATATTCGATTTTATATTATTTATCAACGATTTTAGCCAGATAGTTCACAGTTTATTACGAGTATTTAAATCACATTGGCTAAGATTGAATACTCGTCAGTCCTACAGAGTCAGTATAAAAGTTAGGCAAAATTCTCCAAAACACGTTAGCGAAGGTGAGGATGAAATAGCTCCTACTGAGCGTCTGCAGGATTTCCTGAGCGCTTCTAGAGCTCTGAGCCTTCGATTAAATTTAAATAAATTGATCAGTCAAAGCCGTGACAACTTCGTATCGACCCCTGGATTTTTCTCGGCTCCTTCTGAGCACTCCGGGGAAGAAATTTGAGTGTGGCCGGTTCTAGGGTAGGCCTAGCCTGACTTAGGTGAATATTAGTTTATTCCCCCCCTAGAATTTTGCGTCACAAGTGGAATTGTAATTGATCCAACTATAAGGTTTGAAACATCAACAAATCAACCCCTAGAAGTAGATGAAGAAAAGAGGAAAATTCATAGTAAATAATAAACAGAAAGTAAATTGAAAGTAAATTTAAGAAACAAATAATAATATAATCTAAATTCTATATCAGTAATTGGCACAATGATTGGTGCAAGAGGGACTATTACAAATTTGTTTGATGAATTTTAAGAAAAATATAATCTTCCATCAAAATTAAAAAACAAAATAGTCATAAAAGTGTTAAAAATTCAAAATCATTAATATGGACAACGTTGATAATCTAAGTTACATATTATTTATATCATAAATTTAATTTTTTTTGTTACTGTGTCTAATAAACAAAGTTTAATATTATAAACTCAGTTTTCAAAATAAATACTAATTTTTCATGACGTTGCAATTTTCATGTTTTGATTAATGTATTATATACGTATATATATCATTGTTAATCATTGTTGAACATACTGTATTTGCAAATTTTTTATATTTTCTGACTAACTATTTGAACATTTGTGCCGTAAGGCTAATTTATGTACATATTTTAAATATTTGTTTTAAAATTCATGGAAGTCATCCATATTTTGTTTTTCAAAACCGCTTTTATGTAAATCTAATCATTCATTTTCTGCGAACATGCCAGGCTATTTTGAAAGTGGTATTTTCAATGTGGGCGGGATGTTTCGGCCAGGCCCACTTTTATAAACGGGCAGACTGGGTATATGCCCAGGGGCGCCGGAGGTTTGGGGGCGCCCACCGCGTGCCCCCCAACCACCGCCACCGCCCGCACAAGGAAAAAAGGGGGCGCTGCTTTTGGGCTTGCCCAGGGCTCCACTGACTCTTAACACGGCCCTGGTTTCGGTGGCAAAGGGGTTTCTCATTTTTGTCTCTCCCGCCACTTTGATTTACAAGGGGTGGCGGTGTAAAAAGCAACCCTTTTGGTCAGTCGCAACACTCGTGCCGTCCGTGACAGTTGAGTTTTTAGTGCTACAGCACACTGGGCAATATATTGTCCAGGCGGTTCAATTTTCATTCCTTCAAACATCATTAAAGTACAGTCAATCAATTCAAGGTCATATCATTCAGTCATGTTTGTTCAGTTTTTAATATTTTAACAATTCACTAAACTCAGTGTCTTAAACAACACATGCTTTTCATTTATACAGTCCACTACAAACAATTACATCCATTTTAATTAGCTTAAAATAGTACGCCGTGCGTCACCATATTTAACTTAATATACAGTTTGTCTATTTCATTAGTAATCACCCTGTATTTTGTAAAAACAAAGTGGTGTCAAATTGAAAAAGGTTATTGATTTGTTTCCTAAAATAGTAGTTTACACAACGATCACGTAAAGATAGTGTTAACGATACAAAGTAGAAAATTTAAGGTACGATTCTTGGGGAGTGCCTTAAAAACTTCTACGAGTGTCGTTAACACTATTTACGCGAGTTGCGTACACTACTTTACCTAGGACCGTTTTTTAATTACTAATAATCACTACTCAAAACTTCTAAGAGAGGCTATATATAGACATTTTAGTCCAATCAGGCAAATAAAAATTCACTTAGTCTGCAGGTTTGCTGGGGTGGGGGTATTTTACTGTGTTACAGTTCCATTTATTGATGTTACTAGACTAGTTTCTTATAATTTAGTATAAATATTATTTTGAAATGTGACTACACTCACCACTAGCGGTAGGTGTTTTGCGATCCTTGTAGAGGTCGCTGAGGAAGAGGCTGTTTATAAGAGTAGATTTTCCGAGACCTGACTCGCCAACAACCATGAGCGTAAAGTCGAACCCTCTCTTGACAGACTTCCGGTGAACTTGCTCTGGCAACGTGGCAAACCCTATGTAGTCCCGGTCTCCCTGGACAAACAACACCCTTACACTGACTGGCCATGTAATATATGTGTGTGTGAGAGAGAGAGGGGTGGGGGCAGCGTAGCGTGGCAAACTCCATGGCAACTTTATGTTTTACTTCCATAGTAGATTATTTTTTAACCATCTCGAGAATAACCACCGATCTGATTAACCACCTCTACCGGGGCAACAGTAGAGGAAGTTTTATCCGCCCTGATTTTTAAACTAATTGGTTTAACCTTAACCAACATTTTCTAGAAATATAGACGTTTGATCCTAGTCAATGTGCAGTACTATACTAGAGATAAATCATATTTTTCTAAAGTGGAGTTTGGTACAGATGTTTCACAATCACAATCACACAACCACACAAGCACACAACCACACAACCACACAACCACACAACCACACAACCACACAATCACACAACCACTCAGTCACACAACCACACAATCACACAACCACACAATCACTTTTCATATATTCATTGTTACTTGAGTGAACTGTGTTTAGCGAAATTTTCTATAGGGAAGTAGCTGATACCGTAGGTCTCATGGTAAAGACCTATGCCCGGGACTTTAATTTTTCATTTTGATGTCCCCAGAAACCAAAAACATTTTCATTTTTCATTTTTGACCCTCAAATATAAAATTTCCCAATTTCTCTTTACACCATTTCAAATAACTTTAAAAAAAATAATTTAGTATATTGGAGTGTTTTTGTGCGGTTATTGATTACGGAGAAAATTGAATAAATTGTAAACTTAAAATTCCCATGTTATTCTTATGGAGAATAAGTAAACTGTTGTAGTTTGCTTGTTTATGGATATATATATATATTTTCCCGTATAAATTGGTCCAGTAGTATGGTCAGGCTAGCTGTCATAAGCTTAGCAAAAGTTTTTTTTTTATATGTAAGATTACCTTTCATTTAACACAACCTGCATGTAAATCGGTCCAATAATAGAACTACAGATAAAATTTTACCCCATATTAAAATGTCAATAGAGATTTTAATTTCCGTTTTTAAAACATTTAGTATTTAGTCAAGTAATATCTGAAATCGAAGTAAAATGAGCAAATATACAGACAATTACCTTTCTTTTGTAACAACCCGTGTGTAGTTCGTATGGTTTGGCTAGCTGTCAAAAGCTTTAAATTTTGACCCCAGACCCCGTGTTAAATCTTCATAAGAAAAGTTGATTTTTATATTGGTTCCTAGAGGTCCCCTGTGGTCAAAAAATTTACCAAAAATATGTAATGTACAGACTTCTCTATTTTCACCTCACACTGTAAATGAACCATGTTATTGGAATTTGTTTGTTTTTTTCTGTTTATATTTTGTTGTTATTTTGTCACCAACCAGCCTGGCAACCCATAAGGCCCATGTGCTGTAAATTTGTTTTAAATTCAAAATTTATTTTTTAGCCTATTTTAATTTATAAAGGGCCACATCTACAGGAAAATATCTTTCATTTGGTAACAACCACGTGTAATTCGGTCCAATAGTATCTATAATAGGTTAAGTACCTTGGTCCGTCTTCAGTCTTATTTTAGCCAATGGATGACTAGTTTCGGGTACAAAGACCCATTGTCAAATCCTTTTTCAAAACATCATGTAGAAGCTGGTCAAAAATCCGACGGAAGTCTTCATCATTATATAAATACAGGTTAACACAAAGTTTATTATTTAAAAAACACAAGTTACGGAACATAAAAGACGATTGATAGGCCGGCCACATTTAACACGGGACAAACCGACGCAGGTTACACGGCAGACACAAAGAAGAAGAACCAAGGTACGTAACCTATTATATATTCGAATATCAGTCTTGGTGGCAAAGATGTTCCAATAGTATCGCTAGCTGTCATAAGTTTTGCAAAAGTTTTATTTTATTATATATACCGAGTGTCACAAAAGTCCCACCCCTGGGTATTTTTTTATTATTAATAGAGATAAAATTATAATGTTCGGGAGATGTTTATCTGATCAAAAAAGGAAGTTTTTGGTTTATGTAAATTTTCCCCCCTCCACCAAAAATGGGTGGTTTGGAGGTAAGTCGAAATGTTCAACCTATCGAGTTATAAATAATTGTAAAGGTTATAATAAAAGAAAAAGAATGGCGCAAAAAAGTTATGGCAGTTCAAAGTTTTAATTTTTACCCCCTTTTTGATAAAAACATGTTTTTTTAACAGCTATAGCTCAAAAACGGTAAAAGCTAGCAAAGATTTGAAAGAATACTCATAGTTAGGAATTAAATTTCCTACAAAACACTTATTGGCGTTTTCCGAAAATTACACCCCTTCACCTTCAAAAAACGCCCTACTTCTAAAATTTGTAAAATTTCTCGGAATTTTGACAACAAGCTAAAGCAGTTAAAAAAAGTATTTTTCTCAAAAAGGGGGAAAAATTAAACTTTTTAACTGCCATAGCTCTTTTTCTTTTATTACCATTACAATTATTCATAACTCGATAGGGGTTTATATTTGAACATTTCTACTTACCCCAAAACTATCATATAACATTCCCTGAATATTAAAACTGTATCTATATTAATAATACCCCCGCCGCAGCAAACCTGCCGACTAAGCGAATTTCCATTTGTCTGAATTGATTTTCAGTGAAATATATTTTAATAACATTAGGTTTAACAAGTACCTAGGTTTGCTGCTACAAGGAAACTAATTAAGTGTGTTTTTGAGTAAAATATTGATAGCTTAGTACAAAATAAATAAATTTGCCAAGTTCGATCAAAATATATTCATAAACAAGCAAACTACAACATTTGACAATATTCTCCATAAGAATAACATTGGAATTTTAAATTTAAATTTTCTCCGTTACTAACAATCGAACAAAAATACTTTTACATACTAAATTATTTGTTTTTTTAAGCTCTTTAAAAAGGTCTAAAGAGAAATTGGGAAATTTTGTGTTTTGAGGGTCAAAAGTGAGAAAAACCAATTTTTACCCCATAAAACCCCCCGTAAAGCCCCGTTCCCATGATCCGATTGTGCTGGTTTGCGAACTCATTCAAGTTTATCCCGCTTTACACCTTTAAACCAAATTTCATCAAAATCAGACAAAAATTACTCAAGTTATCGCGTTATCGGACGTATATATATATATATATAAAAATTTGAACGAATAGTGTTTTTGGCCTCTGGGGACATCAAAATGAAAAAGTAAATCGGTCCCGGGTCTAGGTCTTACCGTGCCACCTACGGTAATAGCTACTTCCCTATAGGGAAATTCGCTAAAAACACATCATTTCCAAATTTCTCTCCAAAACATTTTAAAGAGCTTAAAAAAATAAATAGTTTAGTACATCAAAGTGTTTTTGTATAGTTTATCGGTTACGGAGAAAATTCAAAATAATTTTAATTTAAAACGAGCGGTTTGGCCCGTCCTACGTACGGGAATCGAGTAGTCTATTAAAACTGAATATGATTCAGAACAGCTAGTTTACAACTTGGTGGCCGATTCACACACACTGCTATCATTACAGCAGCTACATACCACCTTCCACTGCATAGGCCTACTATCACTTACCTACCTTATTTTACCACCTTGGCCACTGAAACCTCTAAAATGATCCTGGCCTCCCGTTCTCTTCTATCCCTTGCCATTTCTAAGGAAGATACCAGTCTGAAGATGTCTTTCATTACGTGATCTTCTACCTTGTAGTACTCCTTGGAATACACTTTTAAAATTTGAAGTATCTTCTCTCCGCCATGCAAAGCCTGCCCAGCCCACCCGAGATCTGAGACTTTTGGAATGTACCTCTTTATCGAGTTTCTGAATCATCAGTACAGTACTACTATCAGTACTACCGTACTGGGATAGTTATGATATGGTATGAATCGATTTTGGTTTCTACTGACACACTGCAGCTTACTGGTCAGTTTTCTGGAGACCTACTACACCGGTTTGTTAGAGAGGATAAATTTATATTCTTGTCATATAGTACATACATGCCCCAATCTTTAGGCTATCAAGTGTCAATGTAACTTAGGCCTATATGACTTCTTCTTCTTCTAAGAATGAATGTATTATTCTTCCTATGTCCGGAGTCGGTTGTGAGGTTATGTAATGTCCTCGTTACTTCATGTGTGTGCTGTTGTGTAGTAACTATAATAGACAATAAAATGTTCCATATCCACACCATTGCGCGTCATTTAATAACCCTAACAGTGGTTATGGGCCCAGAGGCCGTTTGTGGATATGGATATTAATAACTGGAACATTGTGATATCAGTTTGTTCACGGGTTCGCGAGTAACGATTGATCCTAACCTACACATAGGTTGTGCCGTGTGCGACTACGTGAGACTTTTGTTCTTTGTTCTGAAGACAGTACCGACAAAAAATGAGTGCTTCTTCAGGTCTACCTATTGTTGAAAAACTGCAGGGGAGGGAAAACTTCTCAACTTGGAAATTTGCAATGAAGGCCTATCTCGTACATGATGACCTTTGGGATGTCATAGAGGAAACCCCACCGGACCCCATCAGTGATAACTGGAAGAAAAAAGACAAGAAAGCCCATTCAAGAATAGTTTTATTTGTGGATAAGATTAATTATTCTCACATCAGAGACACTAGAACGGCTGCAGAAGCTTGGAACGCCCTGGAAAAGGCCTTTGAGGATTCTGGCTTAACAAGGAAAGTTGGCCTACTAAAAACCTTAGTCACAACCATGCTTGAAAAATGTAAGTCTATTGATGATTATTGTGATAGAATCATAACAACAGCTTTTAAGTTAAATGAAATGAAATTTAATGTTAGTGAGGAGTGGATTGGTACCTTGCTACTCGCAGGTTTGCCTGATCACTACAAACCGATGATCATGGCATTAGAAAATTCGGGAACACCTATCACTGGTGATTCCATCAAAGTAAAGCTCCTTCAGGATGTGAAATCCGAGGACTGGACCGGTGAATCTGCTCTTTATGCCAATAAACAGTTTAGGTCTAATAAGTCGACACCGCTAAAATGTTTTAGGTGCAA